GCGGGTCCAGAGCGGTCCGAGCCGTGCGCCCAGAGGACCCCCAGAGACGCCGAGCTGACTTTCCTTCGTCCTTGGTGGCGCAGCGTGGTAAACGCTGGGTGCCCACCTGCAAAGCCGCAAGCCCCCGGCTGTGAGCTTCAGTCGAGACGACGTCCCGGAAACTCCTGTCGGTGCTACCCCGCCTCCCGGGGTCCACTGAGTTGTCGGGCCGGAGCTGTGGGGTTTGAGCCGCCATCCCGTGCTGGAGTGCAAGGCGGCTTTCCACCCCCGGAAACCCCGGGCTGGCAGCGCTGCCGATTCCTGTAGCATTGCAGTGAGTGTGGAGCCGGTGGCCAGGATCCCACGCCAGTGGCGCCGTGGGTAATCACTGGGCTGTCAGCTCCAAGGTCGGCAGTTCAAGAAAGCTGTCCGCTCCAGTAAAGGTTTCGTCTCAGAAGCCCCGCGGAGCAGGTCTAGCCTGCCCTGTCGGGTCATTAGGAGTGCAGATCCAAGGGGAGTGGGAATCTAGTGGGTTAATACATTGGGTTGCTAGCCTCGAGATAGCAGTTCAAATCCATCCACTGCTCCTTGGCAGAACGAGGCTTTCTGCCCTCGTAAAGGTTTACAGACTCCGAAGCCCACAGCGGCAGGTCTCCGGCCCTGGAGGGTTGGTGCGCATCGACTCGATGGCAGTGGGGTTTTTGTTCCCCTGGTGAGGCTGGTGGGCTCAGACCAACCACCTTTCAGACAGGATCAACATCACCTTCTAAGACCAACCTTGTGGCCAGGGAGGGGGAGGGCAGCTGGAGGAGGTGGAATGGCCTGGCATTGTATCAGGGCAGGGGGGGGGTGTCAGGCAGGGATGGGTGGTATGCTCAGACGGGCTAGGAGCTCCAGGAGAAGGCCGATGGGCAAGGAGGTGGCTGGACTGCAGCTGGTGCCCAACGGGGTTCCTGTCCCCACCTGAGAAGTCTGGGCCCCAGCCCGAACCAGGGCTCCATCAGGTCCCAGGCCTGTGGGGGAGTCTGTCTGAATGGTCCCATGACCAGAGCTGACTTCAGCAGAGGCAGCAACCCTCCACAAAGCTCCTGAGCTGCCCTCCCCTGCTCAGACCTCTGTCCCCGCAGGCCCCGGCCATGGCCCAGCAGAGGGCCCTGCCTCAGAGCAAGGAGACCCTGCTGCAGTCCTACAACAAGCGGCTCAAGGACGACATCAAGTCCATCATGGACAACTTCGCCGAGATCATCAAGACGGCCAAGGTGGGCGGGGCAGAACAGCCACCCTCCCCGAGGGTTTTCTAGGCAGCCACAGGCCTGGTCTTTCTCCACAGTGCCACCCCTGGCTGCTTGAGTGATGGGCCTGCGCCGGCTGAGGCCGCAGGGTGGGGGTGTCTGCTGTGCGGGGCAGACAGGTTCCTAACTGACCTGCCTCGCTGAGGTGGGGGCAGCCAGATGGCCAGGATTTAAAGGCCACCACTCACTCGTGTCCTGAGGGAAACTGGGCTCTGGTGCCTCGGTTTCCTTCTCAGTGGGGGGTCCTGTGGCCTTGTGGGGATTGGGGAGCTCGTATTTCTTTGTATACTCAGGCCTTAGCGAGCTTGAGTGTGGTCAGGTGGGCAGAAACAGGGTAATGAGAGGGAAACAGGGAAGGCACCCACTGTGCAGGGCACGGGGGTGGGGCCCAATCACGTGTGCTGGGGCAGGTCAGGTCAACCAAAACCAGGAATAATGGTGACAAGGTGAACAGTCCCCATGGCAGCCGCCACTCCAGGCCCACCAGGGGCATCCTGTGTGTGTCTCTTGGTCTCAGTAAGGTTTGGCCCTGTGCTGGGTAAGTGGGTAAGCAGTGCGGCAGGCTAACTTGGCTCTCGTTTGCCCCCAGATTGAGGACGAGACTCAGGTGTCCCGGGCCACGCAGGGCGAGCAGGACAACTATGAGATGCACGTGCGCGCTGCCAACATCGTGAGTCCTCGGGGCTGGCAGGCAGGTGGGGGGCCTGCTGGGCAAGGTTCTCCAGTCACCATGCTGGACATGAGTGACCGGCAGGATTGGGCTGTGTGAGCCCAGTAGGTCAGCGGGCGGCTCACACTCGGCCTGACTCCCTTCTGTCACTGCTCTGACAGACACCATGTGGGGACAGAAGCTTATCCTCAACTGAGGAGGCAGAAATCTGGATGAATTCAGGGCTCCAGCCACAGGCAGAGCCTTCTCCCTGCCGGCCCATGGTGCAGGAGGAAGGTCCTTGTCTCCTGTGGGCCCAGCTTTCCTGGAGCTCTCCCCACATTTTGACATAGTCTCCCCCTGGGTCTAGGAGGTTCTCAACACAGAGACCCTGGGTCTAAAGCAGCGGTTCTCAACCTGTGGGTTGCAACCCCTTTGGGGGTCAAATGACCCTTTTACATGGGTTGCCTGATTCATAACAATAGCCAAATTGCAGTTATGAAGTAGTTACAAAAATAATCTGATGGTTGGGGGGGAGTCATCACAACATGAGGGACTATATGAAAGGGTCGCGGCATTAGGAAGGTTGAGAACCACTGGCCTAAAGGATGTGCTCTGCACTGGGCCCTTATTTGGTGGTAGCGAGAGCCCTCTCATCTCTGCTCCCTTGTTTAAAAAAAAAAAATCACGGCCAGCCAGTGGATGCTGACTGACAGAGACTATAAAACAGGGTGGAGCTGCCCCTCTAGGTTTCTGAGGCTGTAACTTGCCGGGAGCGGACAGGAGTAGAAAGCCTGGTCTTTTTCCTGGTTAGCAGCCAAGCATGTAACTCCTCTGCCACCAGGGCTCCTGCTAGCTTCTGTAACCCTTTTCTATCCCGCGTGGACCCCATGCTGAGTGAAGTGAGTTGTCACAGCAGGACTGTGATCTGAGGTCACTGGGAAGAAAAGGAAGCCCCCCGCCCGTTGGGGCTAGAAACAGATGCCTCAAGACCCAGCCTTCCCTGTGGGTGACCCCGTCCTACGCGCGTCCTCGTGCAGATTCCCAGCACAGTGGCATCTCCTTCAGGTCACAAAGTACGTGACTGAGAATCACGGCCCAGCCAGCTGGACACCTCTTTTGGGAGGGACACAGTTCACCCACTGCCGGCCAGGTGGGTTTACCTGTCTCAGGGTTTGGCCAACTGCAACAGGAAGCTCCAGGGGCTCTGCAGCCTCAGGCCTCAGGGAGCGGATTAGCCACCCACACCCCAGGGAGCAACCCCACATCCCAGTGTCCTCATGGACTTCTGGAGCCGGCTGGCATGATAGTTACTCGGTGGGCTGCCATTGGCAAGGTTGGCATTCAAAACCACCAGCTGCTCCTAGGGAGAGAAGAGGCTTTCTACCCCCAGAGCCTGTCTCGGCACCCACAGGAGGAGGTCCACCCTGCCCTAGAGGCTCGCTGTGAGTGGATCGGGCCTGAGGCTTCCACGCTGGCTGCAGACCACAGCCCAGTGTCCTCAGGACGCTAAGCACAGAAGTCCAAATGGGGGGTGGGGGTGGGGACAGGGCTGCCACTCTAAGGAGGATCCTTCCTGGCCTCCAAGGGCCTGGGTCCCCAGGCCTCCCTGGTTTGTGGCCACATGACCCCAGTCTGTGTCTCCGTTGTCACCCACTTTGGGGTCTGCCGGCACAGGTGCGGGCCGGCGAGTCCCTGATGAAGCTGGTGTCCGACCTCAAACAGTTCCTGACCCTCAATGACTTCCCGTCGGTGAACGAGGCCATCGACCAGCGCAACCAGCAGCTGCGTGCGCTGCAGGAGGCCTGTGACCGGAAGCTGGTAGCCCTGCGCGACGAGGTGTCCATCGACCTGTATGAGCTGGAGGAGGAGTACTACTCGTCCAGGTACAGATAGGCCAGCCTCAGCCACAGCGTGCCTGGGCCACCTCACGGGCAGGCAGGGCCGCCCGCCAGGCTCCTCTGAGCTCTGCCTTGGACACTCGACCATCAGCGCCCGGCTGCCAGCTGCTCCCTGCCACCGAGGCTGTGGCCTGCCCAGGGCTGTGACTCCATTGGATGTCACAGGAACTCTGCAATGGGGGAGTGGGGGGGGTGCGCTCAGCACAGGGCCCTGAAGCCAGGCTGGGGTGGGTGGGTGGGGCTTGTGTTCCAGCTCTGCCCTGCCCATGCTGGCTCCAAGGGATGGCAGTGGGCCAGAACCCTCACCTGGTCTCCTGGGCTATTTGATCTGGAAGGACTCAAGAAACTGGACCCTTGTTTACACTGGGGAAACTGAGGCTGACCTGGCCACCCCCGTCCATTAACTTGGAAACGGAGCCAGTAGACTGGTGGGCCCCTCATCTCAGGCCTCTACCTGGATGCCCCTCCTTTCTGCCAGTGGATTTAGGATGTGGGGTTGGCACCCTGGGGACCACACTGAGCAGATGCAGACACCCAGGGACGTGGTGGTGTCCCAGCTCTGGGCTCGCGCCCTCACCCCCTCCTTTCCCAGTGAGCACCTCTCCAGGAATGTCTCAGACCTCCTGGGGGGCTTATCTGTTCACATCCTCATCGTTGTGAGCCCACTCCTGCCCTCCGGACGGGGCCAGTGCAGGGATGGAGCTGCCCCCGGTCACACAGGGTGGGCAAGGCCCCATCCTGAGCAAGGCTCACCCCGCGGTGTCCCAGTCTGCATTCCCCAGGGGCCAGAGGGGAGGCCCAGGTGGTTCCTAGAGCAGCGGCAGAGGCTCCTGTCTGCGCTGACCTCCACGGTCAAGGCCCAGGCTGCACAGCCCCTCCCCGCATGAGCTGCCCGCCGGCCCTCTCCGCCTCCATGTGCTTCTCTGTCCTGCGCTGCCTCTCCTCCTACTTTCCTCAGGGAGGGGCTGGGGGTGAGCCAGGTGGGGTGCGTGGTGCTCCTTTGCGGGCACTCTCAGGAGCCAGGTGTCAGGTGTGGGTGGCCGGTGCTGTTAAGAAATGGGACAGCAGGCAGAAGGGTCTCTGTGGAGGTCGCACAGCAGTGATAGTGGAGGGACCTTAGGGGTCCTGTACCCTAACGCAGGCCAAGCCCCAGGCAGGGGCCACTCCCAAACAAGATGGGGTCCCTGCCCTCAGCACCCACAAAGTACAGGGGCTTGACAGACTGGGCAGCCTGGATGCTGGTGCTGTGCTGCAGCCAGGGCACGGAGGGAGGGGCCAGCAAGGAGGACGCCCGGGCAGTGGAGAGCCTCTCCCCAGAGCAGAGGACCACGCTGGCTGGGTGTGGGTCTTTCTCTGATCCCGTAACTCTGCTCTTTCGCTTCTCCCCTCTGTCCCCTTTCCCTCCCCCCTTGGGGTTTCTGGCGTTGCAAAAGCTGGACTCTGTGCGAAGCTAGCGATCTCCCTCTGTGCGAAGCTTATTGGAGGCTGGGCCGCGACTCCGACTCCGAGCCCGCCGATGCCCTTTCGGCTCCCCTGCTGGTCTCCCCGCAGCTGAGCACTGGCCCTCTGCAGGCTGCAGCCCCTGGACACCCCCACGCCAGCAGCTCTGGCCCCCCGGAGCACACCTGAGCCTCCTTGGCTCCCTGCCTGACCCTGAGGTTCTTGGAATGCAACTCCCCTCTGGGGCCCTTGGGACTCCAGGACCCCCCCACCCTGCAGCTTCCTTGGCAGCCTCATCTGTCTGGGCCTGGGGTCCACCCCCACCCCTGAGTGCTGGGACTGCCCACCTTTGCTGAGTCCTCTGGGTACTACCCTGGCCCCCAGGGTTGGAGGGACACTTCCAAGATGTGCCTGGTTGGGTACAGGGGAGCAGGGGGTGTGCCTAGCATGGGCGCTGACAACCATGCCAGCCCCCGTGCCCAGGCCAGGCCACTTGCCCACTTGAGCCATAAGGCCCTGCTGCAGAGCAAGAAGCAGTGGTGGTCCACCCCGTCCTGCTGCCCCTGGTCTGGAGACAGAATAAACACGCTGCTGCCCTCTAGCGTGGGCTCCATCTTCCTTTCCTCCCCACTGGGCTCCCCAGCTCAGCGGGATGGCTGGGCGGTCCCAAGTCCATCAATGGGTCCCAAGTCCATCAGCTGCCTGGGACCTGGGCTGGTTTCCTGCCCTGGTGCTTCCTGGGCAGAGAATCTGCAGGGCCCCCGCCCTGGGCTGAGCAGGCTCTGACTTGCGCGAGTGAACAGGAGTGCCGGCACCTTCCCTGGTGGCTCTGGCCTCCCAAGCTGGTGCTGGACTCACCTGCACCCACACGACTCGGGCTCCCAGGAGCCCTAGAAGAGTGGAGCCTGAGGTCCCAGAGCTGGAGCCCTGGGGAAGGATACGCCCCTTTCCCTTGTTACCTTACCCCTGTGTAGAGATGAGGTGATAGCCAGGACCCGGCCTCACCAGGAAGTGGCACCCCAGCCCAGTGGAAGGTGCTAGCCCTCTAGCAGCCATCCCCAGGGTTCCTCAGGGTGTAGCTTCCTGTCTAGGCTGGGGCTTCCCCCAAGCATCTCACAGGGAGGGGCTGTCCCCATCCCAGAAAACAGGATTTTCCCATTAAATGCTCCAGCTGGGCACCCATCAGTCATTCAGCCTCCTCGTTCGTCCTAGAACCAAGTTGGAGCTCTGGGGACTATTTCCTTGCACTTTAAGAACAGGGAGCAAGTGCCTGCCACTGGGACTCAGCACCTTTAATGTGAGCAGCCTTGGTGGTATGCCGGACTGCTGACTGCAGGGTCCGGGGTTTGAGAACACCAGCCACAGGGGCAACTCTAACCTGTCCCAGAGGTTTGCTATGAGCCGGCATTGACTCATTGGCCGAGTGAGTGTCTGGATATGAGAGAAGGTTTAGAATCATAGGGTGAAAAACAAAAATGAATGGAAAATGCAAATACTATAAGTCATGCCTCATGATAAATCAGCTAGCTGCAATGGTCAAGGATCGCATTTTATTTGGCACCACATGTGACGCCCATGGAAGTAGCACCCAAGAAATGTTTCGCGTTGGGCAAGTCTTCTGCCAAGCCCCTCTTTAAGATGTTTGGGAGCAGGTGTTGGCTGAGGACCACTGCAGGGGAACCTGTCGTCCCGGGCCTGCCCAGCCCCTTGGTAGATCATGTAAACGACAGTGCGTGGAAGGACTTGCCTGTGGCCTAACGCTCCTGGAGCCGGAGACTCATGAAGTCGTGAGCAATGATGAAGGCAGCCAGGCTCTCTCACGCCGCACCTCTGGGCAGGCTTGGGAAGACGGTCAATACTTTAAAGTTTTCATGGCGAACTCTTATTACCGCCTCATGTAAGTACCATTCCTTATTTCTTTTTAGCCATTTTACTGGGGGCTCGTACAACTCAACACAATCCATACATAAATCCACTGTGTCAAGCACATTTGCTGCCATTTTCAAAACATTTGCTTTCTACTTGAGCCCTTGATATCAGCTCATTCCCCCCTCCCTCCCGGCTCCCCCCCCATGAACCCTTGAT